TACAGAATGCCCATCCACCTTCATGTTATTCCACACAGTATTGCTTCTAAGGAACTCACTCCACGGCCAGAGAAATGTGAAGATGGGTCACAATTATGAAATCCACTGGTCTTCCCATGTTCCCCACCATCCTGAAGCAGCTGGCCTGATAGAAAAATCTAATGCCAATTATATGGCAGCAGCCTGGATGGCTGGGTCTGGGTTCTCCAGAAGACAGTATGTTCTTGAAGCAGTGTCCAATATATGGTGTAGTTTCTCCATAGCTAGGGCCCATGGGTCCAGGAATCAGGGGGGTGGAAAAGGGAATAATTTCACTCACTATCATCCATAGTGATCCACTAGGAAGATTTTTTTGCTTTCTATCCTACAGCCTTAAATTTTGCTGGCCTACAAGTTTTAGTTTCAGAGTGGGGAGTACTCCTGCCAGGAAAGAACAAACATTCCAGTGAACTGGAAGCCCAGCCCCCCTGGCCACCACTTTGCATTTCTGATGCCCTTAAACCAACAGGCTAAGAAAGGAATAACACTGGTAGGAGGGGTGATTGATCCACTGGTAGGAGGGGAAATTGTATTGCTTCTCCACAAAGGTGTTAAACAGGATTATGTCTGGAGCACAAGAGATCCATCCCTTAGGCCATCTCTTAGTGCTTCTGTGTCCTGTGATTAAAGTCCATGGGAATCTATAACAACTTCATCCAAGCATTCCTCCAGGAAAAGAACCAAAACCTGCTGAACGGTTTGCTGAGGTTGGAGGAATACAAAATGGGTAGTAGAGTTATAAATACCAGCTAAGGTCATGTGACCAGGTGCAGATCATGTGACCAATCACAGACATGAAGATTATAATCGACTTGAGTGTTTCTGTCTTATTTTGTTAAGAATGTGTTTGTACAGATTTGTGTTTTCTTTCCTTGATTTCTATTATGTAATATAACATCAATTAAGAGATTATCAGTGGTTATCATATTTAAGTTTTGAGAAACCAAAAGAATCTCCCTCAGGGAACATTGCCACCTATTCTAAAATTTATAATGCGTTTTCAGTAGTATGAAGGAAAGTTTGTTGGTCTGCCTGGACCACAGTGAGATTCCGAAGTCAATAAACAAATCTGATATTTCAACCAATGGGCTGCCATCCTTAACCAGCCTTGGTTACTCTAACACACAGAACAAGGACACTGGACCCATAAGGAGGGTCTGCATTCTTTTTTTTTAATGGTTTGTTTATTTTATGTGCATTGTTATTTTATCTGAGTTTATGTCTGTGTGAGGGTGTTGAATACCCTGGAGGTAGAGCTATAGGCAGTTGTAAGCTGCCATGTCAGTGAGAGTGCATTCTTTTTCAATCTGAAAAAGTTATGAAAGATAAAGATTTCTGGGTACTTTTACCCTTATAAGATTATATATTTTTTCCATTATGGGGACTATATTCCTTGTGAAAAAAATCTTGCTAGGCAAGGAGTTAGATATAAGGTAATCTGAGGATCTGTAACTGTGTTTCAGGAGCTCTGTCTCCTGATAGTCAGAACCACCCTTTAAATGAAGTTAAACTTCTCTGAAGCCAGAGTTTGACTATTCCCACTGTATCAGAAGCTAGAAGGCCAACACATTTTCCTTCCCAACTGCCCACACATATCTAAGGAATGAAGCCCTGAACCCTCAAAAGACCCTGACGCCACTTCAACACCACATACACTGTGATTTTTATTCTTAGCCTATTGTGGGCTTGTCTAGAGGATCTGGGGAAGAAATAATGTAGCAGCCAGACTCAGTACACCATGACTTGGAAGGGAAAATGCTTTCTTTATCCTATCATTATGTCACCATTTCATAAATATTCATGAAAATGTCTTTAAATTCTACAATACAGAATCTATTAGGCTATTAGCTTTCCTTTGGGATGGCCCACTTCATTTTCCTTTGGAGTGTGTGCTTTATTTTGGTAAATAAACTTCTGCTTAACTATTAACTGAATTTTCCTTCCTTCTTTCCTTCCTTCCTTCCTTTCTTCCTATTAAAGAATGGAGACCCAGTAACTAAACTATTTTTTCCACTCTCAGACAAGACTGACTATAGAACCTCCTAACCCAAGACCACCTTCTTCTTCTTCTTCTTCTTCTTCTTCTTCTTCTTCTTCTTCTTCTTCTTCTTCTTCTTCTTCTTCTTCCTCTCCTCCTCCTCCTCTTCTTCTTCTTTTGGTTTTTCAAGACAGGGTTTCTCTGTATTGCTTTGGAGGTTGTCCTGGAACTCATTCTGTAGACCAGGCTGGCCTAACTCACAGAGATCTGTCTGCCTCTGCCTCCTGAATGCTGGGATTATATGCGTGAATCACCAACACCTGGCTGACCCAAGACCTTCTAATTTCCCAAAACACAGTCCCAAGTTTTGTCCATTATGATTTGCTTTTCTTCTTTGGTACACCATGATAAGTAAAAACTGGCTTTGATTTAACCTTTTGTTAAGTAGCTTCCAAGTATGTTCTTATTAAACAGGGCAGCTAGAAAAACAATCACATTAATATTTATGTAGGTTTTCTTTTATGGACATGGTTTGCTTTGAAGTTTGGCATGGTTCTACTTATTTAATGTTTCTCTTGCATTTTTTAAAATAAGTAGACAGAAATTGTAGGAAAACATTTTCAATGGAGCTTAGTTAGTCTACAGTATTACTTTTGCAGAGGGCATCATAATTTAATCTCATCCTGACTTAGTTCATTTGGAAGATCTGGTGTTTCTAAAGACCTGCAAGACAGTCCTTCACACGACCAACTTAAGTCACTTAAAAAGAGGCATACTCCAATAGCTGCCAAATCCCCTATAAATTAGTGTTCACCTATCCAGGATGAACCCCTTTCTTCAAAAACGATGCAAGAGAGTCAAGCCTCAATCACTGTTTTATATATTTATATTTTATATATATATTTATGTTTTATATATATATTTATATATATATATTCCGATGTTTTCTATTCTGAACAAACCCATGATGTAACCTTAGGGTAAGTCATTGCAACTATAATTAATGAATAGTGTAGTTAATGAATAATGAATAGCATTTTTCTGCTCTAGTCACAAAGTACTTAACATTTTCCATGAGTTTGACCCACCAATTCCTACAAGAACCAAGTAAATGTTCCATTGAACTTATCTTCTTAAAGTCTGGACTATACAGAAATATTTACATAAACATAGCTTTTGAAAAAATGCATACAATGGATCTTTGGTTCTCAGTTGGTCTGTCTAAGTCTCAAACTTATTAGGTGGAAGGCAACAGAAGTTACAGAGCACTTTGTGGTAATGCTATTGCTAATTTCCATAGTCATATGCAGTTAGATGGCATTTTTGAATATAGATGGACAACACTAGGTACCACAATTCACAATTTTCTTTCTTAAATTCTTTTTGAAAATCTTTTTTTTAATTTTATGTATATGATACTTATCTGCATGTACATCTGCAGGTCACAAGTGAGCATCAGACCTCATTATAGATGGTTGTGAGCCACCATGTGGTTGCTGGGAATTGAACTCAGGACCTCTGGAAGAGCAGACAGTGCTCTTAACCTCTGAGCCATCTCTCCAGCCCCCTTTTTGAAAATCTTACTACTATATATATATACATATATGTATATTTAATCTATCTATCTATCTATCTATCTATCTATCTATCTATCTGTCTGTCTATCTAATCTATCTATCATGTATATAGTGTTCTGCCTGCAGGCCAGAAGAGGGCACCAGATCTCTTTACGGATGGTTGGTAACCATCATGTGGTGGATAGGAATTGAACTCAGGATCTCTGGAAGAGCAGCCAGTGAGTGCTCTTAACCTCTGAGCCATCTCTTCAGCCCCTGTTTATATATATATATATTTATTTAAAAGTCATTTTGTTCTAAGTCATTATTTGAGAAAAATTAAATACCATAGTTGTTTTGACTGATGCACAACTCAACTTGTACAAGTTCAGTTTTATTTTATAAAGCCTGGGGATATGTTGAAAAGGTACATTAAAATGCCACTATTCACTTCTAGACGAAGGGAGTCAGTCTTTGGCACCTTTCCTTTCCTCCTGAACCCTGGACTCCAGCTGTGCTCCTCTGTTTGGTCCTTCAGCGAGATTCAATATTTGCTGGTGCTGGGAGATGTTAGAAAGGTGACTACCTTAAGAGTGCATCACATCTTGGACTTGAACTTCATCTAAACCTACCTACTCCACACCAAAAAAAAAAAAAAAAAAAAAAAAAAAAGGGAAAAGAAAGAGAAAAAAGGCAACACATTATTTCCGGTCACCATCCTCCTAAAGCAAAGACCACTGAGCTTTGCTTTTATGGCAGTGTGATCAATAAAGGTATGAACAGGTTAATTGAACACTCTCAGGTCTGTTTTCCACTGGTCCTCTTTTGCCCATATTTCTGTGTCCCGCTCTCCAAGTAATTAACGAACCTGAAGAGAGCTAGAGAGAAACATGAAAGACCACTGGCAGCACTATGGGATCTAATCAGTAATGCCCCCTTTAGTTTATAGGAATCATGGGCCGTCTGGAGACCTGTGAACAAGGAAGTCACTTTGGGAGACTGCTGCAAGAATTAACGACCTCCCACAAACGCCACCGTTGCCAAGATATAAAAAGGAAAAAGCCCTCCATTTTTTTCACCCGCCCCGCTTGTTGCAGAGGAGCTCTTTCCCTGCCAGTGTCTCTCAAGTAAAAGGCGGCAGCAGAACGAGATTTTGCGTGGACTCAAAACTCTGCCAGGACCCTCGCCACCCGCTCCTCCATCTTCCGGAGCTGCAGGTGAGCGCCATGCTCCTGGTCCTCGCCCGCTTTCCCTGCCACGCGGTCGGCGGCCTCGAGGCCGGCGGGAACTACAACTCCCAGGATCCTTTGCGGGGCGGGAGGAAGGCGGGGAACGTACAAAGCGGCGCTGGAAGCTAGCGGCAGCGAGACCGCGCTTGGGGTCTAGCGGTTCGGCGTCGTCCCCGCGGCCTGAGGCGTCATCTGCGTGGGCGCTCACGCAGGGCGGGTCGGGCGGCGCAGGGCGAGAGGGAAGTCGTGGCGGCGGCGTCGGGAACAGCAGCAGCAGCGACTGGAGCGTGGTGCTGACGGGCCGTGGGAGAAATGGGAGACCCAGGGCCGGAGGTGAGTGGTGGCGGCCCGGGCCTTGGCTCGGCCGAGCCCGACCCCGAATGGTTTGTCTTACAGGCCGAGGGCTTCAGCCGGGCCGCGGCCTGCGGCGATTGCCGGGGCCTCCAGGCCTGCTGCCCGTCTGCGTGGAGCCCTCAACAATGGCGGTCCGGCCGCCCCCAGCCCCCGGCCGCCCTAGCTGTGGCAGCCGCAGCCCCGAGGGTGAGAGACGGTTAGAGGCAGGCTGTCCTTGCTTTACAAGCCTGCGTCCCGGTTCCTGGAGCTTTAGAGCCTGCATCCCTCCCTGCACCTGGAGAAGGCGGGGAGGGGAATTGTGGCAGCCCGCTTGGGAGGGCTAGCTCTCTGCAGCTCCCAAGACGCCTTAGCAAAACCCGCCTCCATGCAGTTCTGTGAGCCGGGTTTGTGCGTGATCGCGCAGCTCCCTCTGGGGCTTTTGTCTTAACTCGTTTCTTTTTGGGGGGAAAATTTTTTTTTCTTCCTACTAGTGTGTGACTGAATAGATAAGCGTGTTTTGGCTTTTGTTTATAGATAATAGAATCTGCCCCACCAGCTGGGCCTGAGGCATCTGAGTCAACAACGGATGAAAATGAAGATGACATTCAGTTTGTTAGTGTAAGTAGAGGCTGACAGTCGCGGTTTTCTGGACTGAAAGAGTATGGTAAGCCATTGTGTGACTAAATCCATCACTCAACAGATAGTCATGGATGTCGAATAGCTGCCACACAATGGTGAGTAGGACATTTACCTGACAAGATGCCTGGATACTTCCCTGAAGGGATACCGGAACAATTACAGTCGGCTTCACAAAGTGGATGGCCTAAAGAATTGTTATGCACGCAGTGGCCCCTCCCAGATCTTCACTTAAATCTGACCGTTTTGTACTTGGGACGGAAGTCTGGTCTCTTAAGACTGCTTTTTTGGGCCGGGCGTTGGTGGTGCACACCTTTAATCCCAGCACTCGGGAGGCAGAGGCAGGCGGATCTCTGTGAGTTCGAGACCAGCCTGGACTACCAAGGGAGTTCCAAGACAGTCTCCAAAGCCACAAAGAAACCCTGTCTTGAAAAAAAAAAAAAGACTGCTTTTTGGTTTTTTGTTTTGAAATGAGACTTGAGTGAATTCCAAATGTAGATACACAGGGCTAGTTAATGTCAAGGAGATAGGAAAGGCCTATAAAGAGCCCAGCATCAGCCAGGCAGTGGTGGTGGTACACTCCTTTAATCCCAGCACTCTGGAGGCAGAGGCAGGCAAATCTATGTGAGTTCGAGGTCAGCCTGGTCTACAAAGCTACACAGAGAAACCCTGTCTCGAAAAAAAAAAAAAGAAATATTGAGCCCAGCATCTCAGTGTGATGTATTTTCTAAGATAGCTTGAGGATGCCCCTAACTTCTGAGGTCATCTTGTTACAGCACAGTACAATTGCAGGTCACAATGAAGAGTCCTGCATCACCTGCAGCAATGCTCTGTTTTTCTAAGTTTATTCCTTTGGGAACAGTAGTTTTCCAGCATTAAATGTGAGCAGGCAGATTCCTGGGCCCACTCCAGATCTGTTGAATCAGGAATTCAGGGCAGAGCCTAGGTATTGTCATTTTGGAACACAACTTGGGACATTTGGATCTCTCAACACTTCATAAAGTGATGATTAAGGGGAAGACTATGGCTTTGGGTAGTTTTCACCTATAGTGGTTAAGTTCGTATGTTGGCTCTTCCTAAAATAGTAGCTAGCCAGCGACTATTCCTGCTCTTGCAGCCTTTACAGCTCTCCTGAAATGGTGTAGTTAGCTACAGCCTGTTATAAAAGCTGTATAGTTCTTTATTGTTCACCTGATATGTATATGGAAGCTCTGGCTAACTACAAAGCAGTGATCCATAAAGAACATCCTACCCAACATTGAGCCATTGTGGCAATCCATTGTGTATGATGTTTTAGTGGGGTTGTTTTGAGAGAAGTCCTCATAAGATTATTTTCTTGGCAGTTTTTCCATCATACATTGCACTCTGTCCTTTTCATTTTCAATTTGAGGATCTGGACTGAGGTTTGTGGATACATTGTGTTTTGTTCCTTTTTTCCTAGTAGACTGAAGTATTTTGGAGAAAGGAGAATGTTGGTAATGAATATGCTACCCCTCCAGCATGAATGTGCTATGAGAAAGATTTTTATGACAGGTATTTCAGATTGTACTTGAATTACAGTGTAATTGTGAGCAGAATATTTACCTTGATGTTTCATGCAAGAGTAAAAGGAGTAACTCTTCAATATAAAATATGGCCTTTTGAGAAATTGATAGAATATGTAAAGAGTAAGGTTGCAAAAGTGAATTGTAGTGGGGCATGATGGCGCATGCCTTTATTCCCAGCCCTCAGGGAGGCAGAGGCAGATGGATCTTGAGTTTGAGGACACCTGGTCTACAAAGTGAGTTCTGGGATAGCCAGGGCTACACAGAGAAACACTGTTAGGGGGGGCGGGGAGGGGAAGTAAATGTTTTATATCTTGTGAAATAAAATATCATTATAGCTTGTAACTAGTTAATTCAAGTGTTTGTTGATAGGATTTTTTTCTTTTGGTTTTTCGAGACAGGGTTTCTCTGTATTGTTTTAGAGGCTGTCCTGGAACTCGCTCTGTAGACCAGGCTGTCCTCGAACTCACAGAGATCCACCTGCCTCTGCCTTCCGAGTTCTGGAACTAAAGGCGTGCACCACCAACACCCGGTTGTTGATAGGAATTTCAAAAGTAGTACTTAAGTTTTATTTTAAATGTGCAAAGGTACTTCTGTCTTTGCATCAAGAATAAAGTTTGTATAATGTATAGATCTTTGCCTGAGCATATAAGTGCTATCATTTAAATAATGATTAGTGATAGTTTCATTTTAAGATACATTTAGAATCTTGCACTGGGGAGGTCATCGTGGAAGGAGCCTGAATTGGAGTATGGTCTGAGCCACTTACTTAGGAAGTTCTAGACTTGCTGTGTGCTGCATGGTGAAAGATGAAAGTCTCCAGAAACAGAATCTTGTGCTCTTTGTAACACAATTCTATTTTTTGGTAGGTCTTATCTAGTAAAGATGAAAACCAGGTTTCTGTCTGAGTGTTTCAGTACAAACTACATTGTAATATAACTTGTTGATTTATTTGGTTTTGATTATCAGCTTATTTATTTATGTTTTTTGAGACAGAGTTTCTCTGTGTAGTTTTGGAGCCTATCCTGGCACTGGCTCTGTAGAGGTGGCTAACCTTGAACTCACAGAGATCGTGCTGGGACTAAAGGCATGTGCCACCACCACCCAGCTAGCTTGTAATTTATAACAAAATTAATGTATGACAAAGTTGCGCAGGAGTGAGCTACCATTGGACAGGAGACTCTCTGTGTCTCATGAATGTAGACTAAGTCATAAAAGTGTGCTGAAAGTAGTAATGTAGACCTGGAGATGCAAAAATGAATCCTTTTGTTTAACTTTTCTTGAAATATTCAGGGAAGTACATCTTTCATAGGTGCCCTTGAATGATATTTGCAAAGGTAATAAATCTAACATCTTTTAAAAATGTATTTTATGTGTATGACTGTTTTGCCTGTATATATGTATAGCAGCACTTGCATGCCTGGTGCCCACAGAGATCAGAAGAGATCTCCTGAGAACTAAAGTTGTGGATGGTTATAAGCCACCGTGTGGTTGCTGGGACCCAGATGTGAACCACCGCATGGGTGCTGGGAATGCAGTCTGGGTTTTCTGCAAGAGCAACAAGTGCTCTTAAGTGCTGAGCCATCTCTCCAGTCCTTCCAACGCAATACAATTTTATAAGTGGTGTTTGCACTGGTAAGTTTTTATTGTCAACTTGATATAACTAGTCACATGGGAAGAAGGAGCCTGAGTTGGGGAATTGCCTAGATTGGACTGGCCTGTGGGCCTGACTATGGGGCATTCTCTTGATGTTTGAAGGGAGGCCCAACCTACTCTGAGTAGTATATGTCTAGGCAGGTGGTTATTTGCTGGATATAAAAGCTAGCTGTGCATGGGGGGTGGTGAGACATACTTTCTCAGTTCCTGCTTTGAAGTTCCTGCCTGACTTCCCTCAGAACTGGGCTGTGACCTGGAAGTATAAGATGAACTAAACCCTTTCCTCCCCGAGTTGATTTTTGTTAGGACAGGGTCTAAATCAAGAAAGAGAATAACACTGATAAGAACTTTTTGTTTCTGCCTGTCAATTAATTGCATTTTCTGTTTAGAAATCTGGTCCTTTATTCAATTTGTAATTCATGTTTTCTTTTGAAATGGGACATCCTTTATAATTTTTTTACTTCCAGAAAAATTTGACTGAAGTAACTGCTAACAGGATTGTTCACAGTGCTACTTTAGGAATAAAGGCATACAAACTGCTGGGAACCTATCATAATCTTCATAACATGACAGTTTTGAAGAGATTCAGAATCTAAAAACATAATTTTATAAACCTGAGCACCGAGATTGAACATTAATACATCTTTCTACAGCAGAAAGGAAGGATACATGCAGGAAACATTATTTAAAAATGATATATTTAAAACTGTGTGTATGTAATGTCTGCCTTGGGTGTAGTTGCAGAGACCTCCTGGAGCTGGAGTTACAGGTGTTATTGAGTCGCCACATGATTGGAAACTGAACTTGGGTCCCCTGGAAGAGCAGTATGAACTTAACCACTGAGCCATCTTTCTAGTTGACCAGAAGCATCAACTAGAAACTAGGTTTCTTAGACTACCTATAAATCATTAAGCAAAGCAGTATGAAAGCTTAGAATGCAAAGTTGTATGTTCTTGATGTTAGATCTGTATATTTGAGTGAAATATGTCCTATCCTTGAATGTCAGTGTTTTAGTGCAGAAATGAGATAGAAGAAAATGGCCCTAATAGAAAATTCTTTTATTAAAAAAAAAAAAAAAAGACAAGACACAAGGAGTCCAGGGAAATGGCTTAATGAGTAAAAGCACTTGACTTGAATTCTATCCTTGGAACCCCCATTACAAATAATAAATTAAATAAATAAATGAATGTGATGGCAATCAAACATCTGTAATCCCAAATTTACAGCCATCTAGAGTTGAGGAACCTGTACAACAGCTGAAACAAGAGGGACCCTGTCCCAGCAGAGTGGAAGGTGAGAACTTTGGAAGGTGTCCTCTGATGTGCTCATGCCAATAGTGGCATGTGTCTGTATTCATATATGCACACATGCCATACACGTACACAGACAACACACACATACAGAAAAGGCATAAGAAATTATGGTTTATTAGTTTGCTATAGGTAGTGGTTGGTTAATTTTATTGATTTTATGGGTGGATGGGTGTGGATGGGAGGGTATATGTGGGTGGGTGGTAGTAGGGATTGACTTTAGGACCTTCTGCTTGCTGGTTAAGTGCTATGTCCCCAGAAATTTGAATATTTATTTATTTACTTATTTGGTTTTTCGAGACAGGGTTTCTCTATTGTTTTGGAGGCTGTCCTGGAACTCACTCTGTAGACCAGGCTGGCCTCGAACTCACAGAGATCCGCCAGCCTCTGCCTCCTGAGTGCTGGGATTAAAGGCGTGTTCCACCAACGCCCGGCGATATTTGAATATTTAAAATGGCATTATGAATAGAAAAAGAAAAGGCATAAAAATGAAAGAACATAATTATGTGTAATTTTGGAGAAAGGTGCTTTTATATTTAGTTTTTAAGGTGGGAGAGAGAAAGGTGGGCCATATACACATCTTGAGTGAGGGGTTGTATATGAAACAAAAAGTAGGCAGTTGGAAACCATCTGAAAGTTTTAAATAGGCAGGACTGCAGAAATAAGATGTGACCCTAACTTCTCTTTCTTTGAAGTAAAACAGTTGTGGATGATAGTTAATGTATTAACATCTCTTTCTAAATAGAAAAATTGGTGGTTTTCATTTTGACAGTTGTTATTTAATTAAGGAAATGCAAATAGTTTATTGAAATATATTTTAAAACTTAGAATATTCTCCTGTGTTCTGATATACTCTTCATGAGCCTCTGCTGCTAAATTGTAATGGCATTTCGAGTTGAATCCTTATTTTGTATTGGTACAAGAGGAGATAAAGACTGCTACTAATTGGTAGTGTGACTTGAGATAAAATACCTTATAATCGAAGGACCACATGCTTTTGTACTTAATGCAGGCATAGGCAATCATAAATATTGTAGGAAATAATCTTTTTTCGTATTTGTATTATGAACATCACTTCTTGGGGGATTAGTAACTTATTTGATTGGGCAACATAAAATATAATATAGGCAGTAGTGTTTTGTTTTGTTTTGTTTTGTTGGTTTTTTGAGACAGGTTTTTTCTGTATCGCTTTGGAACCTGTCCTGGAGCTCACTTTGTAGACCAGACTGACTTCAAATTCAATAGAGATCTACCTGCCTCTGCCTCCCAAGTGCTGGGATTAAAGGCATGTGCCACCAATGCCTGGCCTTTTGTTTTGTTTTTTACTAAATGAAGGAAGATGTTGACTTGGAAACTTAGGTAATAAGCAGCAGTTTTTAAAAATTTGATTTGTACCTTAAAGTATCTCTGAATTAATAGTGACCGCACACCAATTGTGTATGTGTCACTCAGTTTTATTATCTCTATAATAGGATGATTTCAGTAATTAGAATCTCTGTAAAGTAGTTAGGGAAATTGGATGGTATAATTTGGAAAGCTTAGCACAGAGCCTGGCATGGGGCTCAATAAATTTTATTGATTAGGAGTAGAATAACTGGAGCAATGAATGTTTTGATTCCTCAAATTCAGTATGGCAAACAGTTTTAAGTAAAGATAAGAAAGAAATTGGTCTCCGTGAGTGCCTGAAATCTAAGCACAGGGAAGATTGAGGGTAGCTATTGATATAAACAACACACGGAATTCCTGGTCAGCCTGGGCACTGTAGGGAGTGAGATCCTATCTCAAGATAAGCCAGAGTGTGATGGTACACACCATAATCACAACACTCAGGAGGCTGAGGCAGGAGGATTACTGCTAATTATTCTGTATCTGTAGTGAAAATTAGTTAAAAGTGTACTCTACTTATATATAAGATTTTTTCTTTGACATGCTTTTAATTACTTTTCCTTTCATTTTCTAATGTCTTCTGTATTAATTACTTTTCTCATTGCTGTGATCAAATACTTGACATGCAGCTTATACAGTGTAGGGTATATTTTGGCCCACAGTCCACATAATAGAGAAGAAAGCAGAAGCCAGGCGGTGGTGGCACACGCCTTTAGTTCCAGCACTTGGGAGGCAGAGGCAAGTGGATCTCTGTGAGTTCAAGACCAGCCTGGTCTACAGAGCGAGTTCCAGGATAGCCTCCAAAACAATACAGAGAAACCCTGTCTCGAAAAACCAAAAAAAAAAAAAGAAAGAGAAATAGAGAAGCTGTTGGTATGTGTCCACAGGCAGGGAGCAGAAATTCTGCACCCTTTTACCAGCCACAGGATGCTGCTGCTCAGAGTAGGGGTGGGTCTTGGCAGTTCTGTCAAGAAAGAGTCAAAATTAATCATCACATTCTTTTCCCTGTTGCATTCTATTGCTTGTAAGTCAGTAATTATTTGTTGCATGAGTAAACTTCCCCCCTCTTATATTTTCATTTGTCCTGGTTATTTTTCATTTTTTGTCTTAATTACCACAAAGTATATGAAATTACCTTTTCTAGTTCAGCAACAGTTGCATATCAGTGAAATGATTTAGTAGCAAACTTGTGGTAGTCTTGCTTTATCTATCTGTTCTTATTTTTGGCCATCCAATATATTTTCAGATACAGTTTTAAGAATTATTAATTTTTTTTTATGTTTGAGCCAGCATTTTGCTTAGGCTTGTTTTGGAGACTTAATAACCCTCTTGCCTCTGCCTCCTGAATGCTGGGATTTTAGATGGATATTATTACACCTGACTTAAGTGTTTTCATTTCCCCTAGTACCAAGAGTTGAACTCCAGGGCCCTGTGCGTGTTAAGCTTTCCACCACCAGTCCCTTGCAAGCTATTCTTTAGTTCTGGCCTTGAACTTGTAGCCATTGTTCTGTATTACAAGCCTGTGCTGTACATGCCCAGCTTATTTTTGTTTTCTTTAATGTTCAGCTGACCTGTACTTGCCTCTATCCTAACTATCCTGCCTCTTCATGCAGGGGTTATAGGTGTGTACCAGACTAACTTCCCTTTTTCATTACTCAGTTTATGGAAATTCTGCCTATGCCTCTGTATTTCTGGATATCTGGAGACTTTCTTGATTGGCTATTTCTTTGTACAGTATTAAGTTCTTAAAAGCCAGGCCTGATGGCACACAACCATAATGCCTGTGATCCCTGTACTTGGGAGGCTGAGGAGGACTGTGATTTGAGGCCAGAATGGACTATGTAAAAAAGTTCCAGGCCAGCCCAGGCTACATAAACCCTCTATCAGAAACAAATAAACCAGAAAGTGGAATATAATAATACATTTTAACAAGTTCCTAAATAAACATTGCTTGAAGAATCCAAGCAATGGTGATAATATGAATGGTAAAAGCAGATACATTTTCATCTTCAAAGTAGAACATATATAACGGAATGTTTGGTCAGTGTCAATACCAAGGGTAGGCTTTAGTCTTAAAGTAGATGACACAGCTCTAATGACATATGATTTGTGCTATTTTCCTCTTTTTTTCTGCTTCTTGGACTTTCATCTTAATAGCTTGAGCAAAAAATCCCAGTTCCTTTATTACATTTCATGATCATAAAGTTTTGCTCACTGGATAGTAATTTGTGGTTTATTAAAACCTAAGAGAAAAACAGATGACGATCGAGAAGAAAAGAATCTTGAACTAGACAATCTTATCTTCTATTTACAACAAGCAGCTTTCTTCATTCTAGGAACTCTTTAATATCGATTGTGTTTTACTCCTTTTCCCCTTCCCCTTGTTATTCCAGTGTATTAGATTTTATACACCTATATTACAGGTCTGCATGTCCAGTTGGCCAAGCACCTTTGTTTGTGCATATCTGCAATGCTGGCATTAGTATATTTCCAGTCACTTGATCTTTGATTCCATGATTTTGGTTTTTGTTTGTTTGGTTTTGGTTCTTTGGGATAAGATCTGAATTTTCTCATCTATTTTTTTTCCCATTGTACCCAGATTATCTTAGGTATATTTCAGTCTTTTTACCATCACCAATATTAGTTGTATTTTATTTGTCAGTAATTATTAGTTATCTTGCTTTCCCAGTTTTTATATTCTTCTGTAGTATTCCTATATTAATGTTATTCCTAGTAATGTTATTTATTAATTCCTTTTGCATATAGAACTGATATTTGGGCTTTAAGTCTGATAAGAGTAGGAAGAAGATTGGAGAAGAATCTGGGTTTAATGTTTTACTGTCTTAAGTTTGGGGAAATGAAGTTAAGTCATTGGTCAAAGATCTCCATGTTTTGTGCTATGTACTCTGGTATATAAACCTGGGTATCTTAATAAACTATTGATACTCATTCTAGTTCTGAAATGTGCTGGGCCAAAGTACCTGTGTCGCCAGGGGTTTAGGCTGCAAATTTTAGGTGTTTTTAATTTTCTTTTTAAAGATACTGTCTCACTTTATAGGTCTGGGTGGTCTGGAACTTGCTGTGCAATAGCCTAACTGTTCTTAAATTCGTAGTTCTCCTGCCTCAGCTTTTAAACTGCTTAGCACTGTAGACATGTACCATCATGCCTGGCTCAGTCACTTTAAATAAAAAAATGTACTCTGAATACTTTACTTTTGTTTGTTGTGTGTGTGTGTGTGTGTGCGTGCGTGTGTGTGTGTGTGTGTGTGTGTGTGTGTGTTTTCCTGCTACTTGTATGCCTTCCTTGTCAGATCCAATCCCACCAAATAACATTGTGTAAAATGCTGGTTTGGTTTAAATGATGTTCATGATATGAATTTCCTCAATTCCTTTTATAGGAAGGACCGTTAAGACCTGTTCTTGAGTATATTGATCTGGTCAGCAGTGATGATGAAGAGCCTAGTACCTCTCATAGTGATGTAAGTACATTACATTTGATTCAAACCTTTTCACTTGTGTCAGTTAAGAGTGTTTTTGTTTTGTTTTGTTTTGTTTTCTGACGAGTGAGGAAAGCAATAATGGCCGTCTTTAAGAGCATCAGTGCTCTAGAAAAATGTTCATTTCTTAGGATGGGCCAGCATCGGTAGTTAAAGGAGTCTTTTGCTTCTATCAGCTCTTCCTTAAATTTACAGGAAACTTAACACTGGAGAGTAGTAACTGATAAAGGAAAATATAATTAAAAACCACAAGCTTTTTGCTTACCCCCACCTCCCTCCTTTCTGACACTTACATAACTGAATTCTTTACTTTTTGAGCTATGTAGCCACAGAAAACTTATCTTGGAGAAAGGATGTGTGCAGATCCTTTAGGAAATGGAATGTGAGACTTAGAGCTGATAAATGATCCAGTCTTCCTTCCTTTTACCCTTCTCTTTCCCATTCTTAGGACTGGTACATGTGACTTGCTACTTTTAGGGTTGACCTTTTAAACCAGTGTCTTACTCTGGCAGTTTAATTGCTTGAACACATCATGGCAATGTTGACTTCCATTTGTTACTGACTTAGCCCAAATTTCAGTTAATGAGTTTTTCTTGATGGATTAAAGAATTCCTGGCTCTTGCTTGCTTATGGTGGCCAGGACCTTCTTGTTATATGATATAGGGACTTGAGACTTGGATCTGTGATCAGAATTGGTCAGTTTGAGATTTCTCTCACTTGGTTTTAGCCTTAGTATTGTGTTACTTTATTTTGTTTTTCAATTCAAATGAGAGTAAATCCTACCTCACAGGGTTGTTGTGAGGATGAAAGAAGTAACAAATACGTAAGTTCCTTGAAACTACAAACTGTAAAGCAGAAATATACATCTGAAAGGCTATTCATGGGGAGTTAATAACAGTTCTTAAGGAGATTTAAAATGACTCCATTTGAGGGAATTTTAAATGTTTGTTTCTTTTTCCGTTTCAGTAAGACTTTGTTCAAATTTTCTTTGCCATCATTATCTTGTACTAGCTCTGCCTTTTATATATTGAACAGACTTTTTTTTTCTTTTATTAGTTTTTATTATAAGAGGCCTTACCACAGCATCTTATCTTAACCTGGGATCAAGCAGCAGAGTAGAATAGTACTATGGACTGGAATTTTGTTGCTTGTGTGGTGTGTGTGCATGTTTGCATGGATGTGTGCGGGTGCGAGTGTACATGTGTTTATGCATGTGAAGGCCAGAGGTAAACATGGGGCTCTTCTTCAGTTGCTTTCTTTTCTACCTTCCTATTTCACTTTACTTTTGACGAGCTCTCGTTGAACCAGGAGCTCACTGACTGAGCAGGTTGTATGGCCAGTGAGTTTGGAATTTGCCTGTATCCATCTCCCCAAAGCTAGAATTACAGATGTCCAATTGTGTGCCTCACTTTTATGTGGGTACTGGGGATCTAAACTCAGGTCCTCAGTGTTTGTGTGACAAGCACTTTACATACTGAACCATCTTTCCAACTCCAAAATGATTTTATTTATAATCCTGTTTTTTTTTTATGTTCAGCATTAATGCTTGTAGTTTGTATGGGGTTGAGGGTAATAAATCCTGTGCATTTGGCTTCTGTTATCTTTTGCCGACCTATAGTGGATTGTTTCTGTCATGCTTATTTATAGTAATATAAAATTTGAATTCTACTTACTGGACATGCATCTCTGCACTTGAAAGTTAACATATTAAAAGCATATTTTTTTTCTTCCTTGGTTTTCTTGTTCATGTGGATAACCCAGAGAATGCCTGAATCTAAGGTGCCACCCTCTGAGAATCATCGCCCAGAAATGTGCTCTAGCTGCAGTGTTCCTCTTCCCATTGGAGACAGCAGCTCCTCCTCTGGGAGTTGTGCCAACAGTCCACAAAGAATAGTTTCTCAACCTTCTTCTGTTGAGAACCAATTGGAGAACCAGAAAAATGATCAAAATAATTCAGATATTAATATCTCTGAAACAGAGACACCTAAATCACAAAATTACCAGACAATGCCTTCATCATCACTTCTGGTCCCCCAAGAGTCTTTGGCTTTTTCTGAGGTCAAACAAGATTTACCTATCACGATGTCTTCAACTTCACAGAATGGACAGGATGCCATCCTATATCTCCAGACGCAAGTGGCTGAGATGTCCCGAGTCATACGTGATCTGCAGTCCAGGAGTTGTTTTAGATTTCATCATTCTAGGCCAAGTGAGAACTCATCAGTTCCTTGGGATATCTCCACCTCTAAGGAGGACAGTTTATCCACAGTTGAAGAAGAGGGTGATTGCAAATCTCCATCAGCTGATGACAAAGGGCAGCCAACTGACCCCATGCAATCTAGTTTCACGGGTCTTTTGAAGAGAATGGAACAAAGAGGTGTTATAAAGAGGGTGACTTTACAGTCTGAAGCTGAAACATGTGAGGGGAAGCCTGATTGGATGACCTCTAAAAAGCGTTTGGTTCCTCCATTGCATCCACTTTTGAGAATTGCCACCACTGAAGTTTTTAAAGACCCTGCTGATTGTCATCCTTCTTCCTTCATGGGACACAGGGTATATCCTGTGGCCAAGGACACATCTCCTTTTCAGCCAAATCCACCAGCTGAGGGACCCATTATAGATGTGTTAGAGCATAGCAAAAGAGGGAACACGACATCTCCGTTAGACTCTACCTCAAAAGAAATGGAGGTCATGGGTTGTAGGTTCTACCATGCTGCTTCCATTGCAGCCCGAGCTGCCAGCTATATGGCCTATATGACTCAGTATCAGCGTAAACTTTGGGAAGACATGGAAGATCTGGTTCATGATCCGGAGTTTGATCGTGGAAAAGCAAGGTGTATAATATCTGATGGCATGGATGCAGGACTTTGGCAGCTTTGTACCACCAGGGACATAATGGACTCTGTGGTCAGAGTTATGGCCATGGCAGTAGACTATAGAAGACAGGCCTGGCTTCGACTCACATCTCTGACTAAGAAAACCCAGGAGAAGATCTTACACTTACCCTTTGATGGTACATCGCTTTTTGGACAAGATGTGAATGCTATTGTTGCAGAAGACAATAGTATTAAAGAAAATGAATATAAAGATCACAATAAATACTATACTCAGCATCGATACTTTTATAGTCATGATCAGAAAGCACATTATCACAACAGAGGGTACTCCAAAGGGGATTGGTACAAACCCCGGAATCACCCTTATAGATACAGAAAAAAGGGAGAGTCTCCAGAGCGACATGGGTATAAAAATTGATACTGTGGATGTTTAGCAGATTAGCCTTCCACAATCCTGTTATGCCTGTTCTTCCCCAGGTTGGGGGTCATCTCAAAAAAAAATGAGTGCATGTCTGGAATAATCACAGCTGATGTTTGAGTTCTAGACTTTTGGAATGAAGTATATAATAAAAAGACTTAAGCTTTATTGGCCAAATGGAGACTTTGCTCTAAGGAGTATTGGACAGAGGTTTACCCATTATTTTTGTTCCAAAATAAGTCCAGAGAAGGGTACTCAGGAATCTGAATCTTCTGGAGTTAAAAGAAAATATGTAGATTCTTGCCTCAGGAAAATCTTGTTGGTAACTGAGGACTAGCTTTGGATCTGGAAACAATTTGCTACTAGATCAGTGTTTACTAAAACTGAAGTATAAATCCTTCATTTTTAGGTCATCAATGCTTCTGGAACTTCAGGCTTCAGCTCGATGGGTCATCAAAAAGTGGTAGATCTGTTACAGTTAAGATGATCAGCTCATCCTAGTTCATACCTTTATCAAGCTCTGTGAGACTTGAGAATTAGCCATGAAGCTGTATGTCTGCTGGAATTCATTAAAATTGTTGCCAAATCCAGTTTACTTATAACTGGGATGATTAAATGTCACAGGTCTACTTTTGGACTCAAAGTGGAAAAACTATTTTCCTATCTGTAACATCACTGTAGAAAAGTTAAACTATCTTCATCCTGACTATGATGGCTACCACACCATCACTAATCATAACACTGCATGTGAGATAGCTTTTGTTGCCATCAGTCCTAGTAGTCTTTGACTTAACCAAGCTCTCATGTCAACCACCCATGAGACTCAGGCATAAAAGTCTCTCTAATGTAGGCCTTTCAGTAAGATGGCCTTCTAAGCACTTGACTCTTTTGAGCTTGATAGTGCATTACATCCTCAGTACAATAGACAAAGGTATCATCATGGCCCTGGAAATACAGAATATTATCCTATCATCCAGGCATGCAAATCTGAACTCTTAAGAGCAAGAATTCCAAACATGCCTGACAATCTGGTCTCTCTTGAAGTAAAGAGGGATGTAATTAGTCTAGACTTCGTTGAGAAATCCTTGAGATGTAAAGTGTGACTGGGTGTTTTCAAGATAAACAGCTGTTTTTGGATATCTAGATGATAATTTATTGAATTCTTGAAAGGCTGGAATCAAGACTTTGGTGACATGGTCTTGGTTAACTAGGTTAATTTGTCGTGTAATCCAACTGGACTAACTCCTGTGAGAGATGATTTACATTTTGCTCCCAATACTAACTCTGTACCTTTCTGGAGCTGGCAGCAGATACCTCAGTTGTGTTCGTGTTCCACAGTGTCATCTCTTTAATCTCAAGGCAATGGCTGTATAATATATCAGCACCTATGTCCTTGTCTTTACTGCATGACTTTTAAAGTAGAAAACGTGTCAAGTTTGAGGAGGTCTGAACACTTCGCCTAATGTAACTTGGCAGCCAAAAAATAATTTTTTCACAAATGTAATTACGTAACTTTGGTTGTTCAAACATCTGCTTTTTCTTCATTTTTAATCTGCTTGATCAAAATGTTTTAGGTATACTATTAGTGGAATATAGCACTGTCTTAAGGGTTTATGTAGCTTCTGCTTCTTACCATGATTCTTGCATCATAGTGGTTGACATTTTCTGTGATGCTTACCTTTTTGTAATTCATTAGACAACTCATTCCTTCTCTCATACCCATAGTCAGCATTCTGCTTAATCTGCATTTCTTTCTCTTGTTTTCGAGACAGGGTCTTACTGCATAGACCTAGCTGACCTGGAACTTTGCTTGCCTCTGCCTCCGGAGTGCTGGAAATAAAGGCATGTGCCACCAGGTCTGACTGCTGCTTCTCATTTGTGCCATGTAGATTGAAGGCACAGATTTCCCAACTTGGAAGAAGTTACTTTGTCAGATAATTTTAGGGTACTATATTGGTCCTATTTGTTTTCTTTGTAGACTAAACTTGAAATAGTTATCAAGATCATTTAGCATATTTAACCAAATTGTATGTAGGGTTAATACTTACCTTATTTTTCTATTGTTAACAAAATTTTACTTTGACTTCCTTGGGTTCATACCAGGGCTCTCTAAAGTATAACTCAAATGAACTGCAGAAAAACAGACTTTTGTAGGTTATAATGAATGCTATAAAGAGGTAGCCCATACTGGTAGTAGTATAGTTTCTTCTGAGAAAGCAGTAGCTACCCAGACTTCACAGGGGAAAGGGTGCACGTGGCTTTGTGCAGTGTTTCTGATTAGTTTCAGGCTACTTCAGATTGTTCCTTCTTTTCCATCTTGCCCCGAATTAGATGCTACATATCACATACGATTTATGAGATACTCCTGTTCAAAAATGAAGCAAAAGTGAATAATTCTTGGAGATGTGTTCTTTGAAACTGTTTTGGTACTCCCCCTTAATTTATTTGTACACATCCCTGTTTAAATTATAGTAGACAGCAGCAAAAAAGCACATGAAATTTAGCACTTTAATAATTTTTGCATTATTATATTCTCTTAAGTATCTTTAGGATAGCCCTACTCTCATCCTAGATGTTTATGGTATTCATTAATGAAGTAAAAGTAACATTGCTTGACCATTAATTGATATGTCCAAGGAACTCCAAAGAATTCAATTTTCCTGAAAGTGAAAATTACCAGGAAGTCACCAAATTGGTGACCAAACAGACAACCTAATAGGAGTGTTTGGCAGTCAAGTTATTTGTGGACAGAGTATGGTAAGGTGGGAACACTTAGCTATAGCTACTTGACTCAGAAAGAACTATTCCAGTAACCTTCACCTGTTTTATCTTTTTTTTTTTTTTTTAACTCTGGCATACTTGAATGATGATGGTGGCGTTTTAAAAGTAAAAGTTGGTACTTGGTCTAGTGAGACAACCCCAGTAGACAGTCCAGTAGAATATAGCCTTTAGATTGTGTCTGCCATGTGCAGAGCCTGCAACAGAATTTCCTATTAGGTTGACTTCTGAGTGAGAGTATCACTAGCTTTTCTAGACACCTTAGAATACTTAAAAGTTTAATGATTTGGTTTTCTCAAAAGGGATGTGTTTAGTGACCCTTTCCTTCAAAATGTCGTTTCTTGACTAGACATAAGATGCATTTAAAGACAATATGATTTTTTTTGTAGTTACTATGTATAGAGAAATACTATTTCCATTTATTGTTATATAAAGTGCCTTTTTCAATTTTACTCTTATGTTTTAAGATCTAACCTTTCATGTGGTATTTATGTGAGTTCTGTACAGTGATTTACTTAATTATCTTTATTATCTGTACAATTGCACTATTTAAATGTACTTCTGAATGCTAATTTGTTTTCTTTATAATACTGTTACCAATTTCAGAAGGGTATAGAATAAATCTCCCTCTTTATTTAGTTAATGTCACAGAAGTTCTTTTTTAAGTTTTAGTGATTGGTTCTGTCTCTAGACATAAAAGTAGCCCTTTTCTTTGCATGTTCTAGAATTTCTGATTGAGTCTTTTGTCTTACATCTAACCTTGTTCATAGCCATAGTAAAACAACTTATATTTGCTTAATGGATGTGTTTACCGGAATAGAAGAAGCAAGGACATTTTAAACAGTAAAGTTGATGGCACTACATATTTATATATATATAGTAGTCTGCGGCAGCTTTCTTGTCAGTACAACTATTTTTGTTGTTTTCCTTTTTAATCTGGCAGCTTCTTTATCAGTATAATTGCATTTATTTACTTAGCCTTCAAAATGCCACTTTGAGGGCAGCATATATTCTTTCAGGCTACTTTACTACATTATACCTAAGTGACCTGATTGATAATATCCTTAAGGGCCTGATACATCCAGGATCTATACCTCTCAGGTATTGTAAGAAGGAGGTTGAAAAGATGAAGTCCAGAATTCCCTATCACTGAAGAATTGGATACTGATAAAGATGAACAGAAAGGTTAGCAACACAGTCATCATTCTTGAAGGTAGTTAATTGGGATTCTGCTGAAGGCTTGAAATTATGGGTTAGATCTTTTTAGAAGTAGAAGATTGCAATAACAAAATAACTTGTTTTCTTCAGTGTGAGGCATACTTTGCCCCAGTTTTGCACTGTCTAGTTACCCTGTTTTTGAAACTTATCCTTATGTACTTATTGTTGGTGGTTAGACCAATGACTGATTGTCACTGTGGATACATCTTATGTATGCATGTCATTCGGTTGGTCAGATTGATTCTGTATGGTTTTTAGTGGACATACAAACTAGTCAGTTCTTTTCACTTAAATTTAAAGAAGGAACTTATCAGTAAGTGAATGTTGATTATTGCTGTATTGAATGCAAATCTTTTTTTCATATTTAACAAGTTTTATATACCATTAAAATCTATGGAGTTTCTCCTCTTGGATGATTGATGAGAATGGTGTTTTATTAAATTCTTTTTCTCTTCTTAGTGGAGTCCCATTTTTGTACTCCTGTGTCATTATTTATTTGACTTTATTATAATGCACTTTTGTAATGCTTGAGGTTTTACTACTGGAGTTTGTGTTCACTTTCTGTAGGATGTGGAGGTGGTCACGGTTCAGTTGTGTCTTGAGAGGGGGCTTTCAGGTAGCTGCTCAAGCTGCCCCAAACAAGATTCTCCAGCCTTCACCTCCTGAGGGCATGGACTTCAGGGGTATGGCACCATGCTGGGCTTTTAGTCATGTCATCTTGGTGAGGATTTTTGGTACCCTCTCCTTTTCCCAAAATCTTTTTCCAAAAGGAAATCTGATTTTCCCTTAATCTCTTTGATGTTGGTATTTTTAATTCTACCATTGTATACTTGCCAGAAGTGTGTGTGTGTGTGTGTGTGTGTGTGTGTGTGTGTGTGTGTGTGTGTGTGTGGTGAATATGTGTGTATATAGCACTTGGAGGCCAGAGGTTGATGGCAGGTGACTTCCTTATTTAGTTTTTGTGTTTTTCTATTTTCTTTCTTTGAGACAGGATCTTTTATTTAACCATGAGTTCACAGGGCTGGCTAGATTGACTAGCCCATGACATCCAGGATTCTCCACCCTACCCCCTTCTCATACTGGATTATAGGTGCATTGCCACTGTGCTCAGCATTTCACATGGGTACTTGTGTCCTCATTCTTATGTGGCAAGCACTTTGTCAAGGGAGCCATTTCCCCACCTCTTCCTTGCTTGCTTGCTCAAGTTCCCCCCCATAATTCCCCCAACACTTCCCTTCCCTCTCTCTTTTTCCTCCCCAGCCACCCCCCAATTCTACTTCATGTTCTTAAGTGCTGGAATTACAAAGTGTGAACTCTTCGTCCTACTAGCCAAGATGTTGATGTTAATTTGTATATTTAAATGCCATTTAATTTGTATGCTTAATAGTTATAAGCATTTGTGATAAGACTGTATTTAGTTTTTTTTTTCTAAAATCCTTAAAAAATACAGGGATGAGAATATAGTTCAGTAGGAACAGTATTTGTCTAATGTGCAGGATGCCCTGGGCTCAAACCCCAGTACTGCATAAACCAGTAATGGTATGTCTTCAAACCCAGCATTTAGGGTGTAGGGCCAGGAGGATCAGAAGTTCAAGATCATCTTAGCTATACATTGAGTTCATGGCCCTCATGGACTGCATGAGACCCTGTCTCAAAAAGAAAAACATAGTCTGGTAACCCAGTCTTAGAAGTGCTTCTTGACTATTGAACTTTCATTTTTTTTAATGTCTCTTGTTTAATGGCATTTTCTTAGTTCAGATGTATTTATATATGTGTATGTGTATTTTTGTTGCTGCTGTTGGTTTTGTCTTTTGATACAGTGTCTCTGTAGTTTGGGTTGGCTCTGACTTCAAGATAATTTCACCTCACTTTCCCAAGTCCTGGGAGTACAGGAGTGAGCCATTGTGCATTCTTCACAGATGCATTCTGTATATATTATTAATGTTTATTATCATAAAATTAATTTATAGTATATTTCTGATATGTTTAAAGTTAACCAGCTTTTTTTTTTAAAGGGCTTTACTAGTTTTATTGAGGGAACTGTTGTGGATGGTTGGATTTTTTTGAGGTCAGAGTTCTCAGGTTTCTCATAGAACTTTGAAGACCTTAGATTTTGTTTTTGAGTACTAAACTGTGTTTAGTATTTCTTGACTCTTCTCTTTGGTATAAGTGAAAATAAATCTATATTTTGTGATCATTTTTAAAAATTCAACTTTGACAGTAAATGACTCAAGTATTAGAGGTTCTGTTAGTTCTGGTACAAGGCTAACTTTTCATGTGCTTCTTCCCCATGAACTATATGCTATGCCTTTTGTTTTCTTTCCTTATCTGTGACATCACAGCATTCACTTTGAAGGGACACAGTTAGAACTCCCCCTTGTGTCTGTGATGGCTGATTCACTTCTTTGTTTTATAATGCAGTGTGTGTGTAACTTACTGTGCTTGTGGAGCCTTTTTATCTTTCAGTGAGTTAGGCAACACTGACCTGAATAATGATGGAATGAAATTACCCCCAGTCTTTAAGACACAGAGTGTGTTGTTATTTGGTGTGTGTGTGTGTATGTGTGTGTATGTGTGTGTGTGTGTGTGGTGGGGGGTGTTTTTATATAGGGTTTCATTGTATAGCCCAAGGTGACTTAGGACTTGCAGTCCTCCTGCATCAACTGGAAAGATCCTAAGCATTGTTTGGAAAAACATTTCATTGTTAGCTAGATATGGTGGCCCATACCTTACCTGTGTTATGGAGGCAGAGGCAGGCAGAACCCTATATCAGTTCTAAGCCAGCCTGGTTTATATGGCCAGTCCCAGGCCAACCAAGGCAACATAGTGAAACCCTATATCAAGAAAAAATAAATCAACAATAACAAAACCTTATTTCTTTGTGGCTGTTTAACTGTTTGGAATACAGTCCATTCTGTATTAAGTAAGGTATATTTAATATGTAAATAGCCTCATTCAGATTCTTAGCACAGAATTGTGTGTGTATTTATATTTCTTTAATGACCTGTAATTGCTCTGTGTATTGTGAATGGTTAGACCACCTTGATCTTGATTACAAGATTTAATTCTCAGCTTCCTGTTTGGGAAGAAAGGCAAGGACAGAATGTGTATCCTGTATGTACTCCCTTCATCTCTTTGTGCAGAAGTGTCATTAAGTAACTTGTTCAAGTGGTGTGGCTTCACTTTGATGCAGAACTCCCTGAGGTCACCTGCTGCCATGTCTTTTACAGACAAATCTGTATACATGCACTCTTGTTAGTACTTGGTACTAATTTCTAGTTATTTCACTTTTCAGATGAGCAACAATCTTCACTTCTCCATTGAGGTTCTGGTCTAAGGTTATTCTTACAGTGCTCACAGCCTCTGTTCCCACACTTAACTCATAATCCATTCACTTGCAACACTGATTGTTTTAGTCATAATTCTTATTGCTTGCTTTTTTGTACCATTTTTGTTTAATGAAACAAAGGTGAAATGGTGCAGAGAATTTGATTTTTAAAACACTAAAGGCTTTGACTTCAATGTTAGCAAGTCACTTATTATCTCAGCCTCAGTTTCCCTACTTTAGGTCCTGAGTATGGTGGCACATGCCTTTACATGCCAGCACTGGGAGGGAGAGACAGGGTAGTCTACATAGTGAGTTCCAGGACAACCAGGGCTCCATAGACCCTGACTCCAAATAATAAATAACTGGAAATATTTTGAAAAACACTAAAGCCTGATACAGATTTAATTTTATAACTAATTTTGGTGTTCCGCATTCTTAGATTTCCTGTGAATGGGATAATATTTGGGTATAAATGAATGAATACTTTTTAAAATTTCATATATGAATACCATCTTGATCCTATTCAACCCCCCCCCCCACTCCCTCCTACTTTCCTGGGCCTCCCTAAACAAATCTCTCTCCCAACTTAATGACTCTTTTTAAAAATCCCACTGCCTTCATTTAGTGCTGCCCATATGTGTACAAGAGTATGGGGTCATCCACTGGTACATGGGCAGCCCTTCAGTCACACCTCAGTATCTATTGTCTGCAGGCAAGGCTCTAGAAAGGTACGGGTATACTGAAGGCTGGTAATGGAGTGCATTCTCACTCCATGGGACTGCGCCTCAAAATCCAAGAGTCAGGTGCTCTTTTGAATGCCAATACACTGTAGTAACTACTTTATTCACAGGAGTGCCTGTGAAACGTTGGAGTGAAACAGGGCCACTAGAGGTCAGAAAAGCCATTCCACCAACTGGCTTAGCTGAGCTTTGGAGGATGTTGGTGTAGTTGGTCTGTCGGAGAAGCAACCATTCATTTAGGGGGAAGAAGTTGAGAATGCCATGAAGTATGTCTGGCTTCAGAATTGTAAGAGCAACCTTTAGGGGAACAGAAATGAAGGAAATTAAACTGCAGAAAGGGTAAGTTATGCATGAAGTTGTGTTAGTTCCTGTGACTCAAAGTGTATTGCTTGTGTGGCCATTTCCTGAAGGTTATGGAAGTATTCCAGAAACTATTTTATACTGTGTCTGCTATGCACATCTACATTTTTTGTTTTTCAAGAGTGTTTCTCTGTGTAGCTTTGGAGCCTATCCTGGAACTTGTTCTGTAGATCAGGCTGACCTCGAACTCCTGAGTGCTGAGATTAAAGGCGTCCACCACCACTGCCTGGCCATCTAAAATGATTTAAGCCCAAGAAAGACCTCAGTATTGCATTTCTTTCCTGTGAAGCTTAAACAGTGAGTGGGAACTTAGGCTTGTGGAGAGCACTGAAGACACAGAATGTGGTATCCTTCCTGGCTGAAGCTGCATAGGGTCCTGAGCCAGTACCTTCTTCAGAGCAGCTAAATGTGTTGACTTACGAACTGTTTCCGGGTAGAGTTGGAGACAATAAACATTTGTAAGAATGTTGTAGTTGGCACCTACTGGTGTTTTGTGCTTGTGGTAATTCTAGCAGCCCCCAAACACTTTTATCAACCTGTTTTTTTCTTCTCTTTTCTCTTTTCATTTTATTTTTCTGATACAGGATCTCGTGTAGTCCGGACTGACTTTGAACTCACTGTATAGCTGAGAATGACCTAGAATTTTGATCCTCCTGCCTCCACTTCTTGAGTGCTAGGGTAACAGACATGAGCAACCATGGTTGGTTTGTGCTGTGCTGAGGCTCAAGCCCAGGGCTTGTTCAATGGTAGGCAAGCACCTTATAGTTCCATCCCAAGTCCTCTTTCCACATTCTAGCCCAGGCTAACATCAGATCTGCAGTGGTCTGCTTCAGCACCCTGACTGTGGGAATTACTGGCATGGGTCACTGTGCCTAGTCCTGCTTACTTTTCCTTTCCCCTCTCTTCTCCCTGGCTTTCCTTCCTCCCTTTCCTCCTTTTCCTCTGTCAGAGGCATCACAGTGGCACTCAGGGTTTAAAAGTAACTCTCCTTTACCACAATTTCACGTAGTCAAAGATAGTTAGAAATCCTCTTAAATCCCAAAGTTGTATAAACTCCTGTGAGCATGCACATTGTGTTTCCTGTGCTAAGAGGGTCTATCGTTAGAAAAAAATATAGAAAGATATTAACAGTTTACTCAAAAGATATGACAGGTAGAATCTTAATGGGTTTGGTGGTACCAGCTTTCTTGATGGTATAAAGTACAGAATGGGGTATATCTGCATGTTTGTTTTTGACTTTGTTTATATAAAGCAGATATTCTGTGCACTTTGTATTTGTGAACAATAAACTGGAATGGGAAGGAAATGGCTTTGTAAAAAGGGTTTCTTGGTTTCAAAATTATTGCTGGGGGTGATGAATGAATATATATTGTACTTGCATTGTGTTTATCTCCTGTTTTATCTGTATTTGGATATAAAATTATTGAGAAAACTTGCTGCCTTCAAAATGTTTTTTGGGGATGATGCTTGAATCCTAAATTGGGCAGAAGGGGCTTCTGGTACCCAGAACTTTGGGATTACAAATTGCAAACCAACCTTGGAGCTTTAGAATGATGGTGACAAAGGCTTTAAATTTGGTAATGTGTTTGTTTCAGGAATTCTTCCCAACCAGATGTGGTAGTCAGATGGTTTATGTATAATGGTTTTGCAGTTAGTCTCTCCTTTCAGCTTTTTGAACTCAGGGCCCCCTATACAGAAGGTGATGAAACTAAGTACAGAAAATGGGTCATTTTCTGTGCACCCCTTCTACTATTCAATCTCCTATAGCCAACACATTTTTATTTCACTTATAGTGGCTTTGTCCAAAGCCAGAAAGTGCCTCTGATGAGTCAGATCGGAAAATGGTTGTTGAGAGCACTTCTTGAGGCGATGCTTTTATAGGGTGCATTTCTCATGTTCTATTACCCCGAGAAGTGGGTAGTTATTCTATTTTACAGAATTAAATAATTACAGAATTACCTCAACTGGAACATGGCTGTAGTTCATTCATGTTTTAGTTAAATTCTGTAGGATGTACAAAATTTAATACTGCTATTAAGATCATCTTTTTAGAGATAAGCAATGATTTAAGAATTTAAGTATTTTTTTATTATTTAAAAAGCTACTTTCATAAAGTCCCATGGTTTCCAACATTGTTTCTAGGACTTGTCAAAGCAGACTTCTTTAACCTTATAGTTTCATTGCATTAATGTTGGCAAATATTTCTGAACAACTGATTTAGCTAGTGACAACAAATGGGCTCATCTTTTGGTGAAAGTGGTATGAGAAGTGAATTGAGAGAATTTCTGGGCTGGGTATGATGGTGTACTCCCCACACCCCAAAATAGCCAATCAAGGTAACTCATACCTGTAATCCTATTATTTGGGAAGCTGAGGCAGGAGGATTGTCTGGTATAAATTTGAGACTAGCCTGGACCACACAAAATGAGACTGTCTCCAAAATACAGGAGGTGGGATGCTGGAAAAAAAACTCTAGGTAATGTTTTAGATATAACCATGCTGGCCTCAACTGGGCTCCCACCTTCCCACTACTGAGAAAGATTACCAGCACATCTCTACCATACCTGACAAAGTTCTTAATAAAACATATTCATGTTATAATCCTAGCCTTCAAGAGGCCAGGCATGGTGGATTGCCATGACTTTGAGGGTAGTCTGGGCTATGTTGCAAGACCTTGTATCTAAAAGGAAAAACAAAACAGGTTTTAGATGTACTGTTCTCAGCACTCAGTGTAGGACAGCACTTAATTACTAAGGGAGAGTTGGCAAGCTTGTGGCATTTAGCTTGCTAAACAATATATTTTCAGAATTGAGAATACAGTGTTCTGAGAAGCAGGCATTTGTAAATGAATTTTAAAGGAAAGTTCACCTGTTAGTATTTATGTAGGCATTCATTGGTGATAGTCTGGTAGAAACTTAACTGCTAATAAGAATTTCCTTGGGGATGTAATCAGCTTCCTTTTAAACACATTTGTGAAGTGATCTACCTTTATAATTGAACAAGCTTTTATAATTGGGCAAGCCTTCTGTTGCAGACAGAGGAAAGTGGGCTCTAACTTAGATAAGGAATTATTTTTAAAATTTAGCTTTTACTTTGGTTATGTGTACCTTTAATGCTTAAAATACAAAGTTAGTGCATGTGCTTTGGATGTTTTCAAAAAGCTCATGTGAGCTGGGCATGGTTTCAGGGTTGCCATCCCTCCACTTGGGAAGCTTAAAGAGGTTGTCACTGGAGCCTAAGAGTTGGGAAACATAGGGGGAAACACATATTAGAAAAGCACATATATAAGTAAACACAAAAAATACTAACTGGTTTAACCAAATAGTCTTTTGCTTTAAAATGGTAGTGGTACTTGGTCTCAAAGCTGTGAAAATACCTTCCCAACAGTAGTCACTAAACCTGCCAGTAGTCACTTATCTTAATTCTTAGTTTATGAGGCACCTACTGTACTGTCTGGCTGGTATCCATGAATGGTCTTAAACTTCTCATCACTTCTCAAGCAGCTCAGACTACAGGCATGTTCACCACTACACCTAGACTCAATTAATATGCTTCTGTTGGTCTTGGGGAAATTGTAATCCAATAATTTTTTTCTCTAGGTATTTCCAAGTAACAAAAGATTAAAAGCCCTAACACAGTCTGTCTTCATCTACGCTTGGCCATCAATAGGTTTGTTAACAATTTCATTGCATGTCCTCATTGTAGGGAAATTAGAAAATAGGTATGAAAGGAAGAGACAGACATGACGGCTATAGACATTTTGATTTATGATTTTCTAGATTTGCTATATGGTATTATTTTCACACATGTGTATGTGTGATAGAAAAGAAAGATATTAAGATGTAGATTTAGCATCACTTTATTGATTAGTAGGATTTTGTGTTATACTGTGTATCATATACAGAGGTTAGTCCAATGTGACCTTGGTGAGTACTGCAAGATGTGCAGTCCTGGAGATGCTATAGCTACTAATACTCCAAACAAAACTTAAAATCTATCATTCTTCTGTGGATTCAGTTAGTTTAATGTAACCTTGGTAAGTTACACACCTGAAAACCTGATCTTTTAGAAAGGATCTAAGAATATAAATGATAATTCAAGCAAAAGCCAATTGTAAATCCAGCCTGAGTGTATGGGAAATTCTAGAATTTTATTCTGTGACTTCATATTAAATCACAACAGCATTTTGGCGTTCGTGAGTCCTGAGAATTGTGAACCCCTTTAAGGAAACATGTAAAAAATTCCATCTGTCCTGAAATTTGTTCACTTGAAAGTAGTTGGACTCTTGTTAACTACTTTCTCATTGTTGTAATGTAGTTGACAGATCCCCTTCAGGAAGGAAATGATTATCTGGCTCACAGTTTGAGTGCATAGTCCATTATGGCAGGAACAGGAAACTGCCATTGCATCTTCAGTAGGAACACCCTTGTAGACATTCTCAGGGGCGAGTTTCTATGGTGATTCTAACTCATTCAAGTTGACAGTGAAGATTAAACGGCCACAGTTACTAACAAGGTGGTGGAAGTTTTTCTTTCTCTGGAGTCTGATAATCTAATTGGTATGTAGGTTCTTTGATTCCTTAGATTACCTGCTATGTTGCTGTGTAGAGTGGGTGTTTCCTGTGATCTCTGAGCAAACTTTCTAACCACTGTTTTTCAGGGCCAGTGTGTTCTCCTGTAACCCTTGACCACTATAAACCAGCGAGGTCTAGTGGCCATTCCTCACTTTGTACCTCTAGCAGTGGAATGTGTCATTCTTGAGAGAGTGGTAACATCATTCATGTCTGGCTCTAATTAGCAGCTTGCCATATTCTGTTTTGTGATCTGGTTGGACAAGTGCTTTACCTGAGCTATGCCTTTAGCTTTAGCTAGCTCTTCTGACCCTCAGACAGAAGATTTGTGACAAATACTACTAATAGTACCATTGTAACTAATAAGCCTGCCTCATATTATTTATCTTCCCTCAGTTAAAGAGAAAATACTTAAAATATTTTCCAATTTTATGTTGCTGACTTCAAAATTGGCAAAGGTGTCAAAGCTGGTGTGTGCTTCCTTCATTACTACACTTTCCCTCCGTTTCCAGCAGTGTCTCTCACTTCACTCTAAAGACTGGTAGTCAGTTCCTTTTGTTTATTTGTAAGAAGAAAATAAGAATCGGTGAGTCACAAACAAACAAGGAAGTAGGAGGGGGAGTAATCGGGAGGGGAAAGGGGTCAGAAGGGGTGTGAAGGGAGGAAGAATAGGATGGGGTGAATAAACCAGTTGGAGGTGACTGACCGAGTATGTTCTGTACCTGTATGAAATTGTTACGAAAACAAGCAAAAAGGTGGGAAGCAATTGAGGAGACAACTGAAGTCAACCTCTGACCTCTGTGTTAGCAAATTTCTTCTCTCTCTCCCTCCTCTCCTCCTCCCTCCCTCCCTCCCTTCCCCCTCTCCTCCCCCCTCCCTCCCCACCTTCTTCTGCCTCTGGGAATTGAACTGAGGGCCTTGTACATGCTAGGTAAGCACTCTACCACTGAGCTAAATCCCTAGCCCTTTGTTTTTAATTTCTGTGTGTCTCTATCTTTAAAGGAAGATCTTGTAAACAACATATAATTGAATCTTGCTTTCAATTTTTATTTACATATTTATTTTGCGTGTATGTGTGAGTGTGTCATGCTCTGGCACATGTGGAGGTTAGAGGACTTGTGTGAGCTGGTTCTCTATTTCTGCCATGTGGGCTCTGGGTAAATTTGGTTGCTCAGGCTTGGTACCAAGAGCATTACCCACTGAGAAATCCCATTGGCCCTCAAAAAATTTTTTTAAGGTTTGAACGGTGTATCTTTTAATTGGTGTATTTAGACTATTGCCATGTAGAGAGATTAACATAGTTGGGTTAATATCATATTTATTCTTATTGTTTATTTGTTGCTTTTCTTTTGGCTTCCTTTTTGTTTATTGCCTATTTATGTTTTCTCCCTTTTTCCCATTTGTAGTTTTGAGTTGCTTGTTTATGTGTATGTATGTGTTTTATTTTTATTTTATGTATATAGATGTTTTGCCTGCCTATATGTCTGTACACCACTAGCATTCTTGATGCCCTTGGAGGTCAGAAGAGGGCATCAGATCCCCTGGAACTGGAGTTACTGTCAGTTGTGAGCCACCATGTGGTTACGGTGAATCAAACCTAGGTCCTCTAGAAAGCAGCCAGTGCTCTTAACCACTGGTCACTATCTCCAGCCCCTTAAATGAGTATTTTATTTGATTCTGTTTTTCTTTTCTGTTAGCATATCAATTACAAAATATCACAATAAAATACAATATATACTCAGGAGACAAAGACCAGCGCACTTCCCTTCCCTCCTCCTCTCTCTCCCTCCAGTACAAACACACACACACACACACAAGATTTTTATAACTATAACAGAAGTAAATGGTTTTTGAATATAATA